GTAAGTTAGACTCTTTGTTTCACTTAATTGTGTACTTTATTGTTATTGTGTACAAAAAAAAGTTGAAAAAGGCATAGAAAATGTTATAGCGTTCTTTACGATGCCTATAAATTAGAAGCGCTCATAAATTCAAGCCAAGCAACGATTTAGAAGTTGTTGACAAATATAAATTTTGCAAATGTTATCTCCTTTATAGTTTTAATAAATATACGAGGACTCCCTAGACAGTCATGATTCTTTATTAATAAATTTAATTAAAAATTAAGTCTCAGACAAGTAATTTACAGAGTCAGCTTACCTTCCCCCCCCCCCCCCCCCCCATAAGGACGACTGTCCTGATAGTTTTTAACCTCAATATGATGCAAGTCACTATCAATAGCAGAGGTCTATATAACCTTAGGGGCCACATAAGTAGGCAGGTGATTAGCGAAAAGATCATTCTACAACTCAAGTAATGAAGAGCCGAATATAGTACCTATCTTATCGCTTGCCTATTCCCAATCGAACAGTGGGTTTAGAATTTAGATAATTTTTTAAAAACTTTTATTTTCCATAAAACAAATTACAACATATTTTACAGTGGTAGGTTGATAATAATTTACATAATGGCAAATTATATGATGGCGATAAGTTTGATATGTACAAACCGAAAGAAAAACCCAGAGGGGGAACAATTATAATCGGTTAAATATAACAAATGATCACAATTTACTAAGAATCTGAAGCTGGATTGAATCTACATCTGTGTATCGTTCAACAATGACAACATGAATTTAAGTACAACACAAATTCAGTGTTAACCCTAAATAAATCAAATTGCCTTTAAGGTTATGAATGAATGAGTATAACTGTGGAAAAACATTTCCAGATTACAGTTTTAGATATTAAGTTTTTTTTTAAAAACTTTTATTTACCATTAAAAAAAATTGACAACATATTTTACACTGGAAGGTTGATAATAGTTTACATAATTTCACATTTTATGACGGAGTTAAATTTGATATGTACAAATCGAAAGAACAACCAAAAGGGGAACAATTATAAGCGGTTAAATATAACAAATGACCACAATTTACTAAGAAAACAACATTTCCAGATTACAGTTTAACTTTTTGATCACTTCCAAAAAAACCCCTTACTCACATAATAAATTTTAATGTACATCTCAAAAGCCTTGCATTTAAAAAAAAAAGTGATACATATACAAACAACAGATGTATAGAATAGAGGAACTTGTCATGACTGACAGCATAAAAAAATTAAATACAATTACAAAAACTGTACCACTCTGTCAGAATGTAACACTGTATCGGTGGGGTGGGCGGGGTCTTAGGGGCATGGGTTGAGGGGGTGGGGATTTGGTTGGGTGCAGCGGCCCAAGCACCAGGAGCAATGTAGCGTGACATGACTGCTCTAATTATAGCGTGTGTTCATGTGTTTTCCCTGTCGTGTAGTCTTCTAAATATCAGGTCCAAAATCTGTCTAGAGCAGTGGTCGGCAACCTGCGGGTCGCTAGCCGCATGCGGCTCTTTTGATGTCAGGATGCGACTCGCCAGTTCCATAATAATTATATTATTTTATTTTCATAATTCATAAAAATAATATACTGAAAAACAACTTTAAACAAAATAAAAAACTAGGAATAGGTTGTGTAGAGCGTATACAAACAGCTGACAGCTGCTTGAGTACAAGGCCCAGCCCCACAACTGTGCTGTGGCCAGCCCCGTGGCAATAAATTCCATACTTTACCGAAGTGCACATTTTTTTTCCCAAATATTTTCAATAATAAAGGTTATTGCTATTCAGAAGGCATTTTTAATTGTGTCAGTGTGCATTAATTTGACTTGATTGACATATTCTTATATTTATTAGCTTCTAAATTGGGTAGGGATAGTTTTATGATTGGATTTTATTATCCTAAAAGAACTAGTTGAAATACTTTATGTTTTGTGCGAAACATGTGTATGTTTTCATATGAATAAGTATTTTTTTCATAATCAAACCCATTTAAAAAACAAGTTATAAAAAGTCTAGTGACAATTTAAGCGCAATTTCCTTATGTTATCTAAAAATAGATAGTGATCACAAAGACGTATAATGCTGGGGTGCGTTCAAGCCAGGAGAACGATCGGTTTGTAGGTGTTTATGTAATTTTAAAAAAAAATTTGTGCCCAAACGAAAGGATATTTTTGAAAACTTTCTTCGGCAATATTGTTCTAAATTATGGCAGGAATCGATTGGTAAATGTTTCAAGTCGCTAAGTTGTCTGGTTGCCGAGATATGGGCAAAAAACTGCATTTTTTTGAGGTTTTTTGGCTTTTCCGGGAAATCAAGGAAGGAATTCCGGGAATGTTTTGGCCCACAATCATCCTCGGAACTTGCTTAACATATTTGCTTTTGGAACTAGTCCTCGATATTGCTTCATTGAGAAGATACGACTTAAAGCTGCGGACACACATCCAGAAATGACGAGTTAATAATCGCAATTGTCCAGTATGGAAATTGCGCTAAAAATAATTATTCAGCTAATCCTAATCTAATATCACAAAATAGAAGAACAATTATTAATGGCTCTTTAAAAACTGGGAAATAGGGTAGTTTGTAATATTTGGCTTTTCCACCTCAAAAGGTTGCCAAACCCTGATCTAGAGTAGTCACACAAGAGGAAATAATAAATCTTCCTCAGGCCGACGTTGAGAACAATTCTAACAATTCAAAACGAATTAATTAATCTGATCTTAATGGTGTAAAAAATTAAATTAAATTTTAAATCAAATTAGTAATATGTTTATCAAATTATTACACTCAGGATATAGAAAATATAAAACACAAACAGTTTTTCTGATAGATTTTAAGAAATTTAATATTATAAAACACAAATTATTGAAAGAAAAAAAAAAGTTCGTTTAGGGATATTTAGAAAACATTCGAAGACCTTGATAAAGTGCGTTTGTGAGGAAAGTTACCCCGCTTTGGCTAGCGACTACTTTATTATTTCCCTTGATTCAAAGCTGAGTTTAATAAAACGTGGGTGTTTTTGTTAAATGAAATCTTTGATCCCTGCAGTTACAATCAGTGTGCTGGTATCTGATTTCTACATCAACGGCAGGAAATAAAACAACATTTCCCCATCAAGTGTACTAGATCGTGTAATCGAGCATGACGGCACAGGGGGCGGGGGGGGGGGGGGGTGGGTGTTGACCCGTCTTGACCCCGTTTGACCGTTGCTGTTGGCGACTCTGAGTCGCGAGTATAAAAAAATCAAACAGCCCCCCCCCTCCCTCGCCCTACGTCAACCAGATGAAATTTATAACATGACATTAGATGACAGGTAAATACAAACGGAAGGTTCGCGCCAAGTCTGAGTTTGCTTCACACCGTCTTGGCGCGCTCGGTAGCTCTAGGACCTAGGTGGTTCGCATCGTTCGCTGGATATAGATCGTTCATCGCAACGAAAAAAACAGCGTACGTATATATATATATATATATATATATATATATATATATATATATATATATATATATATATATATATATATATATATATATATATATATATATATATATATATATATATATATATATATATATATATAGGAATAATATAATATGTTATGTAAATATAGTATAATATAATGTATAAATAATATAACTAAATAAATAAATATTTATATATATATATATATATATATATATATATATATATATATATATATATATATATATATATATATATATATATATATATATATATATATATATATATATATATAAAATCAAGCTTAAATTCACTAGCTTGAACCGCTGTGCAGGTGTCGGCTAGCTGACTGGGGTCAGTAGCTCATAAAGGGAGAAAACCCCTAAATCAAACACGAATAGAGCCCTTCAGTGATGTAATTAACTCTTGTTTCCTTTCTATAGCTTCTGCGAGTTTGTACCAAACGTGTTTCTGAGCATTCCCTTAGACTATTGGCCAAGGTCTTGGGACTGATTACGCGACAGTGGGGGTGGGGTTGGGGGCGAGGGACCCCTTATCTCTTTAATTCGTTGGGACGCGCCCCTCGGGTGCATCCATTGTCTATTTAAACTAGAGCCGTTCACATCGGTAGTAATTGTACGTTATATTTTCACTGCATTTAACCTTCACCCTACCCACCCACTCAACTGGTTCTTACTTAGCACTTGTCCCCCCAGTCTGGATTATTCTTTTGTCTGCCCGCTGTTGTTACAAAACAGAGAGCGTTTATCAAACATTCAAGGATGCAGTTCATAACAATTTGTCGTCTCTAGACGTATTCAAGAAGTTGGCCTGATTTGGTTTTTTATTCTGGTTTTCTTATTCCCATGAAGTCTGAGACTTTGTGGGCTTTGTCAAGAGTGTGAATGAGTTTCAAATTCAGGCATGTTTTAAAAAATTCTGCCCCCCCACCCCTTGGGCTCCTGATTTACACACATGGTACAACGTGGATACGAAGCTGAAGCTCTTTTGTATTGGTTAGCGATTTTTATTTTATATTATTAAATAAATACAAATGCAATTCTTATATTACTAAACATAATTAAAAATATACACTTTATATGAGGTACACAATTGAACTAAACATTTTATTTAAATAAAAATTTAAAAAGCTAAACACTTTATAATGACACTGCAAAGATATTTTTTAAATAAATTACCATGCTAACAAATTCAACCGCTTATTTTATATTCAGCAAAAACGTAAATGCCTTTTACAAATTTTAAGTCTTGGTTTTGCAAATTTGATAATAAAAATTTGATCCCACTTTTGTGAAAACTTAATCGGACCTCTTTCTCGTTTGAACTCTTAATTCTAGTGTTGAAATGAATCCCTTCCAACACAATTAAGTATTACGTGTCAACTTGTTGTCTCTCCTAGATGGATGGCTGTCCCCAGCTATCGAGCCTCATGACGGGGGTTCGAAATCAGGATATTTAGTATCAGCAACCGAACACGCCGACCTCTTAAGACCTTACTTCA